TCTGGTCCCAACGTTACATTTTTGGGGGTCAGAAAATGGAAATGCATGCCTGCGATGGTGGCAATGAGGATCATCTTTTGTAAAGCCAAAGGTTCTACGGCTGGTTCCTTGCTCATGTGATTACACTCTGTAACTATCTACTGTCCGGATGGTCTCTTCATGATTTTATCAACGGAGTTTGGTGTATGTTAAGCGGGTTTTTTTGTTTTTGTTTAACTTTGTTTTGGTGATAATCGAGTTTGGGAGATCCTGTACACACACTGATATAGGAGGTGGAAGAGAGTTAATGACTTAAATAAAATATAGATTGATGCTTTTTGTAAGAACTTTTCGTAATCTATATAGGTACTTGTTATTTAAGCCTGATGTAGGATAATTGTATTGTAAAACAGTATTGCACTTACACGCGGTGATAACTGGTTGACTGCTACGTTCGTGTTACATAGCTGATGTTTTTTTCTTTGTTCATAAACTTTCCTGACAGTCCTTGAGAAAGAATTACTCCGACTGTGAATTAAAACAAAGGTAGAGAAGTGATGTTGAGCTGGATTTTAAAGATTTCTGCGGGGAATGAAAGAAGGCGATTCTTCTTCTTGTGGACTTCGAAAAAAAGATATTGACGTTAAGAATTAAATTCAATAACCTTTACTTAGGTCGTTCAGATGACCATAAACTTTGAGACCGAAACAGAAATACAGATTTTTTTTTAATTTCTTGCAAAACCTAGATCTATCCTCGCTCTCAGTGTCTCTACTCTATGTCAATTTGTGCACCCCCCTCCCCCACCCTGACAAAAAAAAAGCTGAAAGCATTCCGTTTTCTCCAACTCACCACAGTACTCAGCCTCATTTTCTATCTCTCCCCTTCCCGTTTTCCCCCCAAGCGTCACACCCCAATCCACCTACCTCCAATCCACTGCCTCCTCCCCTCCAATGACGTTCTGCACCTTTTTTTATCCTATTTTATCCTCTTTCTTCACTACCACCCCCATCAATCTCCACTTCCTCTTTCTCCTCTGCCCTCCCCCCACCCCCAACCCCGATCTCCACTTCCTCTATCTTCCCCAAACATCATAATCCGTGTGTTTTCATCTCTTAAAATTCAAATCTGCCACACACAAAAAAAACCGCAACTAAATCAACACCTTATCATAAAAGTCGAAAGTTGAACTACTTGTTCCTTCTATCAAAGAAAATTGTGAAATGTTTCCAAGTTTCAGCTTTCCGACCAAGTACGTCATTAAAATACTTTTCCTTGAGGCTGTCTTCCCCACCACAATCAGACATCCCACAAATAGCACCAAAGCACTAAATTATTAGCACAGTGCTGCTTTGGGAAAACTGACAACCTCCACTTTTCCATTAATATTATCAAAAATAACAGCAACGAAACCAAGCCCAAAAAACCCAAACAACAACAAACAAAAAAACCCCCAAAAACACCCCCCCCAAAAAAAAAAAAAAATTAATTAAAAAAAAAAAATACAACAACCGCAAAAGAAATAAGAACAAAAGAGAAAAACAGAACACGCGTCCTTGACATTTTCAAAATCGTTTTTTTATATAAGAGTGTTATATTTCTCTTCCCGTCATAAAGCTAACAGTTAGAATAAATATCAGAATTGGGTCTTGCCTTTTCGCTGAAAGCAACGCTTCAATTACAGTAATGGAGTTCTATTTGTCGAGGAATGGGAGGGTATGTAGGGTATTCCAAAACGAATGATATATATATATATATATATATATATATATATATATATATATATATATATATATATTTATACGTTCCTTATGAATGTTTAAGTTGGTTGGCTAAAACCTCAACGATTGCATCTATAGATCAAACAAGCAACTATTATAATACTATCAAAAGAATCGTGAGTGTAGAGCGAGTGTCCGTTGACATGAAAGGGATTCTAAGACGTGCACGTTTTGATGATGTTTCTGTGAGTTTTTCGTGTAGCTTTTGTAATGTGAACCATTTTGCTTTTATGTCAATTTGTATACGAAATATTCGATAATAACCTGTCAAAGGAGGGTACGGTGGCGGGGCGGTTAGTGCTCTCGTCTCCGAAGCGGAAAGTTCGGGTTCTAGCCTCGGTTCGGATACCGATTTTTTTGGTCCCCTCTTGCCCACCCAGTAATAATGGGTACCTCACTTCGAGTAGGGGAAGTAAAGGTGTCGTGGAAAGGAACTGGCCACCCTACCACAATATGCCGAAGGCTCAGGAAGTTGTCTCACTAACAAGGCAATCCCCAATGTCCGGATCGGATGCGGGAACAACTTTGCTTTAATCTTTCAAATTGATCATCATCATCATCATCATCATCATCATCATCATCATCCTCATCATCATCATCATCATCATCAGTATTGTTTGACACCAGGAAAAAACATTCGACGACTTAATCAAAGGTTAATATTCTCAGTACACCACTATTGAACAGATGGAAACACATGCCGATATTAGTTTTACTTTTAGGTAAATTTTCACAGCACTAGCATCACAATTAAGGCATATTAGTAAAGGAGCTTAGAGATGATACTGAAGAGTAACATACAAAGCGAAGACGGAGAAGCGATAGGGCGATATAATAAATTGTGAGAGGTTTGATAGAAAAGAAGGAGCAAACAACACAGGAGCACCTGCCACCCGCCCACCATGTAGACTTTGATCGCCCAACGTTGTGTAATGCTTAGGCTCCGTCATTATACGGTTTGGGAGGGGTGGGGTGGGGCATCAATTTTCGTGTGCTGTAGTTATTAGTCATTGCATCAAGTATATGTGTTTCCGCTGAATTTCTGTATCCTACTCACCATAGGGTACAAGCTAGATAAAGTAGCCAGCCTCTTTTTTTGGTAAGTGTTTTACAGCGCTCAAAACTGAAAAAAAGTTATATGAGCGCGCGCGACACATTAAACATTTTCAGATGGCAGGACATTTTGAATTTCTCCCGTGTCGCGGCCGAAGCCTGCTCTTATCGATTTTAGACCACCAATGGATCTTTAACGTGCGCAACATTGCACACGGGCTCTCCGAGATTTTTCGCTCTTGTACCGAAAAGGTTAGGTGTAGATCTTTCCTACAAGAAGATCAGGGGTGTGGCTGAAAGACAGAAGTAAGAAAGGCTGCAGAAAGAGTCAGGAGCCCAGAGGAGGGGGCAAAGGAGGTGAGCGGATGGGGGCAGAAAGAGGAGACGAAAGCAGACGACAGAACATGGTTAGAGAGCAGGAAAGGAGGTGAAAGGAGATCATTTTAGAGAAGAAAGGTTTTCGGTCCCTACCCAGATTCGAACACGTGAACTTTGCAGGAGAGGCCAACACCTTAACCTCTAGGCCACGAGAGCCCCCTAGCCCTCCTCTGAAATGGTCTAGATAGAGTTTTCGGATGAGTAAACGTGTGTCAATCTCTCTGCCCACAGCTGTGTCCCAAGCGCGAAGAATCCGGTCAACACTCTGAGAAAAATCATTAAGCCACTTTGCCGTGGCATGCCCAAGTTCGATTCTCGTGTAGAAATGTTTTCAAACTCGTATATTAGCCAGTTTGTTGGGATTTAGCATCCCTGTCAGTCCCGGTGTGCCATTGCAGGCAAGGACGAACCCCGCATGCCTTATAAGTGTTCTAAATTGTGTTGATTTGATTAAAGAGGGGGGGGGGGGGGTTGTAACACATCTAATATTCTAATACTTAGTGTGTGCGTGCGTGAGTGTATATATATATACGTATATATATTAATTATATATATATATATATATATATATATATATATATATATATACATTTTTTATGTGTTTGTGTGTGTGTGTGTGTGTGTGTGTGTGTGTGTGTGTGTGTGTGTGTGTGTGTGTGTGTGTGTGTGTGTGTGTGTGTGTGTGTGTGTGTGTGTGTGTGTGTGTGTGTGTGTGGAGTGGGAAAAGGGAGAGGGCGTCTGATTTTGGTCCAAAAGATCACAATTTGAAACACGTCGTATGTAGCATACTTCACGGCAGTGCGACTCACATTTAAGGAACCGCCAATTAAAACAGAATCGATAATGAAAAGAGTTCAGATTAAAAGAACGACTAAACCTTAATAATGAATGTTATTTTGTAGCCTTCCTGTCGACACACCAGACACACACACACAATTCCCGCCACTTCTTCCTGCCTTCTGCCATGCCATTTTTGACGCCTGGAGCTGCAGACGTGCCAGTTATTTTCCCGCCCTATCAGCATGGACTTCTGAAAGGTTCAATGAATTCAATTTATCTCTTCCATAATATGGTCGCTTTTAAAGACAAGCGGGCTAACCCAGATTTCGGGGGTTTCCAGAAATCTTGGCCTACACCAAAACTGGGCATTGTCCTACCTACAGGAGAAGTTTGGTACATTGGTGCGTATATTTGTTTGGTTATAGAGAAAACTCACTTTGTCTTTGAAAAAAAAAAAAACTGAACAAGTGTCCAAAAACTTTACCTTCGATTTTTTTCAAAACAGCGGGTTTTTTAGGGATAGACCCCTCGTGCTTAAAATTGACCATATCTTCCAGAACCTTAATTCTTTCTCAACCCATCTGGGGTCACCGTTACGAGCAGTGTCGAAGCAGCTCACCTCTCAAAATCACCCAAGTGCAGTTTTAAAGCTATGCTCCCGGCTTACAATTTCCTCGCTTTTCATTGTTCCTGATAGGAACAGTACAACAAAAACTAGTTTCTTTGGCATCTGATGTAATAACGTATCCAAACGGTCCTAAGATAAGATACGATTAAATAAGATAGTACTTTATTATCCCAGAGGGAAATTTTCCTTGGCTGTACAGGACAGTAAAAACACAATATGCAGGTATACATAAAACAATTTTCAATCATATATATTACTCTCATTAAAATTCAATATGAAAGGAGAAGTAAAGTTGACAAAATGTACATTTACATCAAATGCATCATTCAACCACATGCAGGAATTTAAATACTAGACCTTTGGAGTTATATACAGATACATACTCTAAGAGCAACACACAT